ATCTACATTAAAAAAAATTGAAGCCGACACTGAATAGAAACAGCTACGAATGCTGTAATAATGTTCTAAAATGCCTATAAAAAGAATAGTTTTCACGTTTTAATGCGCGCTTGACCATGACCTTCCAACATAAAAGAAGAAATTCCATAATGGATGCATATTCACGTCCTAATGAACGCTAAAGCATAACTATCATCTATTGCATTTAAACGCAAAAGAAAAAAATCAGTAATAGATAGCATCACATAGTTTTACCTTACCAGTTACACCTTTGATGATGATTACAGAAAGAGATGGAAAGTATTTGGGAAATAAAACAATGTTACAGTGAATTTTTTGCATCATTTGATTGCAATATACGGAAAAATATTCGTAAATATGAAAGGATTGATTATGTTTGTTATATGTATGTATGTATGTGCGTGTATATGTACGTGTGTGTGTGCGCAAATTTTCAGTTATAAGTTAAATATATCAGTAAAAGGGCAATATCAATGAAGACAAAAGGAAAACGTATGTTAGCCGATACATTTGTCTTGATGAAGTCCATTAGAGGACTAAATGCGTCTGCTAGATAAATTTCCCTTTCTTCTTTATTTATAAACACATGTTAACCGCGACATAGACGAACCTATCTACTCCTATTTCTATGAAATTCAATGTTTTTTTTTTAATTACAATTCTTGAGGTTTAAAGAGTACCAAGGATGTAATTCTTTGTAATAAACACTTGTCACTTCTGCCTTAGGAATCATTATTATTTTAATATTTCTGTCAAGGATGGAACGTGTTCAGCAAAAGAGCGGCATAAAACAGTCTTTGAGAAAATAGAAATTTTATTTAAAACTTTTACTTGAAATTTTAACACTATTAAAAGATTTGAATTTGAACAGAAAAGAAACGGAAAGACAATAATCGTCTTTTCTTTTTTCTTCAAATTCCACCCTTTTTATCCTCTTCTTTTTTCCCTTTCTTTCTTTCTTTCTTTTTTTCTTTTTTCTTTCTTTTTCCTTTCATTCTTTCTTTCTTTTTCCTTTCTTTCTTTCTTTCTTTCTTTTACTTCCCTTCTTTCTTTCTTTATTTCCCTTTCTTTGTTTCTTTTTCTTTTCTTTTCTTTCCTTTCTTTCTTTCTTTCTTTCTTTCCATAGACCCGGATAGCATCTGTGACACATAATTCTTTCCTACCTATGTTAACGAAAATATTTTGTTTTAGTCGAAGGTCACTAGAGGGCGTGACGTACAGACATTACCAGATTAATCATAGGGAGATAAGAAAATAACAATTTCTTATTTATGCAAGTTTGGTTGAATATCAAGGAAAGTTCTTCTTTTAAAATATGTTTTATATATCTTTTCTCAATTCCGATGATATATAAAATAACAGGCGTACATATCGCGTTATAGATAGATAATAATTATGTTAAATAAATGTGTGCGTGCCTCTGTTTTGTGTGTGTGTTTGTATGTGAAGTTTAATTGGCAGCAATTTCTCAGAGATACAAAGTTTTATTAAAGACCAACGTTCTTTATAAAGCTTTCTTTTTTTTTCTTACATTCTAACGAGTTGTTTGGCATCAGAACCGGGTTTTTGTAAGAACGGCCCAAACTCCGAGTGCTTTCCGCTTTCGGAAGCCATTGTCAAAACATACTTATAATTTTTTTGTTAACAATGTGTTTACAGTTTTAAAATCATTATGTTGCTTTATATGACGAGTTAATCTTAAATAACACGCCATTATGTTTTAAATTGTGCTGCGCCTTCTTTCACTTATCAAATCAATTTAATATATTTATGGCGCAATTTTTTAATGCTCATTTGCTTATTTTTATGGTTAAGGCTTCTAATATTTCTAGTGTTTTTTTTAATCATTTATATGATAGATCTCCGCATTGTCTGTATGTAGTTTGGAATTTCACTCTTCTTTTTCGTGTTTTACTTATAATCAGATAAACGAATACTTACTTTACGAAATATTGGTAATTGTGTAACGATGTATTTGAATTTGTAGTTCTTTGAATTTTTTAAACAACATTAGGTTGCTGAAGTCTTGTTCTTATCGTGCTATTACGATGATGTTTTTAATAATAATAATAATAATAATAACTTTGCCATTGTCAACAAATGGCTTGTATCTATGCATTAAATGACTTGCAATTATTATCCTTTCTGTTTATAAACGGTATTATTAGAAACGTTATTTGTATAAGATGCCATTATTTTAGTTACTATTCCTGTTTTTTTCTTCAACAGTAAATTTATATATATATATATATATATATATATATATATAAACTATGTAATCTTCACAAATATCCTTAAATGTGTATAATTGGTAAGAGGAGCCATTGGTTTATACCAACGGCTTCCTATACTTAATACTTCTCGAATTCACTCTCGTGTGGTCATGTGTGGCGTCATGACCTGCGGTGCGATTTTCGCTTCTAGTGTCTTATATTAACGTTGCTTGGAAATCATCCATGTAAACAGAAACAGACTACTGTCCACATATGTTTATGTCTGTATGAGCCCCGGCGGACAAGCAAGTGTGTATGTGTGTCTGCGTACCTCATCGGGTGTACGGACATGTCATCTATGTTTCCCCCCCTCCGCTTCCATAATAACACCAATAAACGCAATCTACATAACCCCAAATTTAAAAAACATTATTCAGTTTGTCTGACGATCGCAGAAGCGCGAAAACCAGCATCGCAAACCCACATCAATACAACTAAATATATATATATATATATATATATATATATATATATATATATATATATAATTATTTTTTATAAAAAAATTATAACGTAAGTATGTTATAAAATCACTACAAAAATAGCCATTTTGTTTCAACACACTCTGTGTCTTATATATATATATATGAATGGACACTGAGGTCAATACCGAGTTGCCTTTGGATTCAAGCCTGAAACAGACTGTCGCCACTCAATGTTGCCCTCAGTGTCCACTTTTATATTCACACACGCTCTATATGTCTGATATTCTTCATTTTTACCCATGAATATAGCATGCCTTAAAACTACACACACACATATTTATGAAGGTTCGATTTCGGTAGCAATTTCTCATTTAATTGAAGTTTTTAATTTATTCTTTTTTCAGTTGCAATCATTTCTTGTTTCCCGGTTGTTAAACGCATATTTAAGCAGACGTGTTTTAAGCAGACGTGTTTTAAGCAGACGTGTTTTAAGCAACCCTTTCTTTAATAAGATTATTGAAATGTTCAGACCGGTAGACGAAATGAACGAATCGTTTACTCAAATATGGCTATCCACTAAAATTAGCATTTAAAGAAATAAAAAAATATGTCGGATTAATAAAAATCGAATATTTCTTCATATGGACGAGGGTGATTTGTAGGTGAATCATAATATGGCGAAGATCTTCATTTGAGATGATTTAAGAAAACAATGTTATATTTATTAACAGTTAATTATAAAGTACTTTTATTATTTAAATATTTATTGACCTGCTTGCATATAAGGAAGTTATTGTTTAAAATATAGCTACAACATTATACATAATACACACAATCTATGGTAATCTTTGAGGGTTTCAATTCAATACTAATGTTTTTTCACCAGAATTTACTCTCAAATGTTAACACAGAGGATTCTTTGGGTTGTCTATGAAGATATTAAAACTTTGACTAAATGTTTTTAATTAAATATTTTTTAACTCATCTTTTCCAGTTTATGCCAAAAAATGGCCAACATTTATTCAGGTTATTTATTTAGATATTTGTTTGTTTTTTTGTTTTTTAATTTATAATAACCGATTATAAAACACCAATCTCAAATTATTACAAATTAAATAATCATATGAAAACAAGAAAAATAAAATTAGATTAGTAAGAACTGGGAAGCAAAGAATATAGTCCATTAGAACATTTTCTGTTGAAATACTGATAGAGCAGTTTCGTCTGTTGGAAAGGGGTTGTAGAGTAGAAAATTATTCATCACCCACAAGGCCGCGTAGACGCTTTAGGACTCTATCAAAACTGAAAAGGGAAGACTGAGCAGATCCAGTAACAATACTCTATTTTTGGTCTGATTTGGCTCTTGACAAAATAGAGCATAGCAGGACGTGTCAGGTCCTTTCTGGAGCCATACAAGGTACCGCTCATTTCCGCCAGCATCTTTAGCCATAGATCGTATATAAAAGATTTACTTGAGATCTGGAGTCAACTGAAATCGCAATCGGCGTTTAAGGCCAGGTGTTCTTTGAGAGAACACATGTTCTTTGCGATAAGTGAAAAGTTAGAAATGATGATTTTCAAAATTTATTAGATTTTTTTAAATTGATGCAACGCACTTCTCTTATCTCTATTTCCATGATTAGATTTGGTCGCTACCAACCGAGATGTATTAAATTATTTAATTTAAACATACAGAAAATTTAACACACGTAAAAAAAAAAAACATTTAAAAATATTTCATTGGAATTTACAGAATTATTTTTTTTTTTTTTTACACGGTCGATTACACGGGCATAATGATAAATTCTTTAATATATTGTAGTCGTGTTATTGATTTTATTATCGTAGCAGTAAAAAAAAGGAAATTTATCGCCTGAAGTTTTCATAAAAAGTCCCGCTGTTGAAGCCTAAACTCACGGCATCGCAGTTGTTTGAATAAACATCTGCAGTTTCAAATTGCTTTCCCAGCGCTTTAGACAAAATGTTGCAAAAAATGAAAATAGTTTTCTTCGGACAAATACAAAATATCTCTTGAAGAGTTCCACTTGCAAAATTATTAATCTGTTTGTTTTCAATGACATCGATATTTTTCTGAATTTCTGGGATAAGAAGTTATCATTATTTACGGTATTTATACTTGGATTATATGACTATTATCTTTGTTGCTGTTATCACAATGTTTCGGTCGCTGTGCCGTCCGGCCTTCCTCGGGTGTATATCGATTCGGGTAACCTATAAGGAATTCTGAACTTAACAATTTATTTAATCTACAGGGATCGATTGTTCTCATTCCACTGCTCATGTCTAGGGAAATCGTTTAGTTTTTAGTTCATAATTGTTATGAGTTCAATCCTCAGTGGAAACGGGCGAGAAATAACTGAACAGTACTAAATAAACATAAGGACCAGAAGATTTATTTGGCAAGGCGTAGATCACGATTTTAGTCTCATGGGGCTCCAACTTCATCTCCCAAAACTTATCGTATTCTTGGCATGATAGCTTGTTGCAGGGTTACGGTTATGATATATTCCACAATATATATATATATATATATATATATATATATATATATATGAAAAATTTCTCAGAGTTAACCTGTAGAAAAAGACAATATTTATAAATGTAAAAGACAATAGGAAAGCTGTAAAATTAGCTGACGTGTTTCGTCCAAACAACTTAACTAATGCACTAGTCATGCATAGAAATAAATCAACCACAATTTTGATTTTAAAAATGCTACACTTATAAAAAAAAAAATAACTCACTCAGAAGGAAAATCCTCGAGAGTGCTGCCATTGAATATTATTCAAATATTAATCTACGCCCAGGCCTTTTCCCTATTTCACCTTTCCTAACAGAATTACTACTCTCCTAAACAAACGTACATAATTGTATCAAGAAATCAAAAGAAAATGGTTGAATAAAAACAATATTTCCACACGTGACAGGACTTGACGTAATTTTCATGTAATAGCGTTTTGTAAATTCTTCCAGTTGCTAAGGACATTGCGTTTTGTCATTATTAGTTACTTTGTTTTAATAAATTCATTTCGTTTTTGCCTTGAAAAAGTCCACATTGGACGAAACGCGTCGGCTGATATTACAGTTTTCCTATTGTCTTTTACATTATATATATAGTTTTCTTGCTGCTCTTTAAATGCAAACACGGCCGCTCCGCTAGCAGAGTGAAGCAAGGCGGGACAACGATCATGCTCCTTTATCGATTATAAAATGGTCACAGCCATCGACGCCATCCAAGGTTTCCATTTACTCACAGGTCATCGGTCAACCCGTGTTATGGTTTTCAGATACTTTCCAAAGGTGCCGCATGATGAGGACGCATCCTCTCGACCGATAACTTCAGGAGCAAAACTGACCATATATAAAAGGATGCGTTGAGTAAACAGGTGTCATTTTATAGTTTTAATTTCGCGCATACGCGTTGTTCGTTTTT